AGAGATAGCTCAGCAGTTAAGGCTGGAGACATGACTCAGCAGTTAAGGCTGGAGACGGGAGGCAGATAAGGTTGGTGCAATGGCTAAGCAGGTAAGAGCACTGGCTGCTCTTCCACTGCTCTGTGGCTGATTGCCAGCACCCACGTGGTGCCACACAACCGCCCGTAATTCAACTTCCAGGGAACCTGACACCCACTTCTGGCCTCTACAGGCACATGGTGCACCGACAAACATGCAGACGAAACACTCTATACACATAACAAATAAAATTTAAGAAATCTGTAGCAAGTGCTGACTTTTCCCCTTTGACAGGGTTTCACTTGCAACCTGAGATCCTTCTGTCTTCAGCTCCATCTTGCAGAGTTTTAAAAGGCAAAAGGAACAAACAAAACCCTTGAGCTGGGGCTAGAGAGGTGGTTCAGCAGTTAAGAGCACTTGCTGCTCTCCCAGAGGACTCAGGTTCAATTCCCAGCCCCAACAAGGCAGCTTAACTCCAGTTCCAAAGGATCTGATACCTTTCAATCCCTCTAGGCACCAGACACACTACACACACACACACACACACACACACACACACACATACACACAGGCAAAACATTTATACACATGAAAATCAATGTACTTTAATTTTTTTGTTTGTTTGTTTTTTTCGAGACAGGGTTTCTCTGTGTATCCCTGGCTGTCCTGGAACTCACTCGGTAGACCAGGCTGGCCTCAAACTCAGAAATCCGCCTGCCTCTGCCTCCCAAGTGCTGGGATTAAAAGGCGTGCACCACCACCGCCCAGCAGTACTTTAATTTTTTAATCCCCTTGGAAAACCAAAAAAAAAAAAAAAAAAAAAAACTAAAGCTGCCAAGTCTGTCCATGTCAAACTAAGTCAGGATGATCCTGCCAGATAGCACAGTGGGACAAACTACGGGGTAAGGTGACAGGGGAGCTGGACGTACTTCTAACCCCCATCTACTTGGGAGGATCATGGATTAGGCCGTCTTTAGATAAGCAATGAGTTCAAAGCCAGTCTGGGCAATTTAAGTAACCCACTGAGGAGATACCTCAGCTGTCCAAGGCTTGCCCAGCTCATACAAGATCACAGTTTCAAACCTCAACACCAGGCTCTGGTGGAATCCTGAGTTGATACACTCTGATGAGTACAGTAGTCAAAACTTTGTATATTTTTGTAATTAAACCATTATGTTTCCATAAGAGCAGAACGACGTCATATGTACAGTCAAAACACTGCAGTTCACAACATACAACAGTCTCCAGCCGGAGCAGAGGCATGTGAGGCAGTGTTTGTGGTTCCGTGGTGTGGCTCCGAGCATCAGGCAGACTGCACGTGGTGTGTGCAGACAGCAGTGAAGTCGCTATTGCTGACGCAATGTACCCTGGATACACTCTGCATTTGATTTTGGATTAATTTTTTGTCAGTGGGAGTTCTGAAACTTTCCAAGATCCAGAGCGTGAAAAGCTGGGTTCCGGTGTACTCTAGGCCCTGGGTTTGATGCCCAGAACCTCAAAGAAAAAAAGAATCACATTACTCTCCACAAGATTTCCACAAAGAACTTGCAGCAGACACAGTAATTAGTAGAAGATGCCAAAATGCTTCCTCTGGATCCCCACGATGAGAAAAGGCTGCCTTCTTTTCCCTGATACTGATCAACAAGAGGAAATAAGATACAAGCCACTAAATCAGAGCAATGGTGGCTTTCTTCAGCTTCCCAATCCCTGACTTCTCTTTCTAAGGGTTAGAAACAAAGTAAAAGCAACAGACATCTAAAAGATCATGCTCGGGGCTACCCTGGGGATGAAACTCAGTGGTACAGCGTTTGCCTACTATGTGTAAGACACTGAGTTTGATTACCTGCATGGAGAAAGATGGGGAGGAAGAGGGAAGGGGGATGCTGGAGAGATGGATCAACTATTAAGAGCATTTGGGCCGGGCGGTGGTGGCGCACGCCTTTAATCCCAGCACTCGGGAGGCAGAGGCAGGCGGATTTCTGAGTTCGAGGCCAGCCTGGTCTACAGAGTGAGTTCCAGGACAGCCCGGGCTACACAGAGAAACCCTGTCTCGAAAAACCAAAAAAAAAAAAAAAAAAAAAAAAAAGAGCATTTGGTGCTTTTGCAGAGGACCTGGGTTCAGGTCCAAACACTCACTCAGCAACTCGCAGACTTCTGTAACTCCAGCTCCAGGGGATCTGACGGCATCTTCTGGCCTCCTCAGGAACTGCATGCACATGGTTCACATAGACTAACATTCAGACAAAACATGCATACATAAAAATAAATCTTTGAAGAAAAGGAGAGGAGTTGGAAGAATACCAGAATGATGCTTGAATCATATGTTACTCAGATCCTCCTGCTACTACTCACTGGTCATCTTCCCTCTTTGGTCAGAAATATGAATATCAATTGTAGGCGGCCCTAGGTACTAGCAGAACCTGAGAGAGAGAGGCTGGAGGTGAGAACCCATACGTACATGGAGGAGCATTGGCACTGCATAGCACTGTGGCCTGCCCCATGAGACACCTGTGTCCTGATGACATCACAGGCGTGATGCAGGGACTGGCTGCACCTGAATTATGACATCAGCAAAACTTAGGTCATCCTCAAGGAAAGGGTATCTGGACAGGGAGACCATGAAACAGCGGCCACAGAGAAAGGTGAGAAGACAACGGTCATCAGTCAACAGGTAGGGCACAAGAGGAAGGGGGACACCCCCAGAAGCTGGTGAGGGAGGCTGCTACCGCACCAGGTCCTGGTACCTGAGTCTCTGAGTCTTTTCCTTCTTGGCACAGGGCAGCAAAGTATCTGGCTCTTATTGACATGCAGAAGATCTCCCGTGAGTTCAAACGCCTGACCTTTTCTCCTACGTGCCAAGGGAGTGGTCTCTCTCCCCTTATCATCCTGTCCTTCTTTCTGTCTCTCACCATTTCTCCCACAACTGGGGCTGGAACCAGGAAATATGATTCTCAGTGTCCACCCTCATAGGGGTTTGCTGATGACACAGCCCTGGTACCCTATGGTCAGACAGCTGCTTCCAAAAGAAAGCTGTAAAAAAGGAACATGCCTATGACATAAAGAACATGCCCCTGGTGTAAAGGGCCATGGCCTGGCCCTCTGCCATGCCTGGGTTTGCTCTGTCTTCTCAGGACCAGCCCAGGACAAACCCCCCTCACAGCTGTCTTCCCAGTCCTCCAGAGCCCCACTCCAGCTCCTGATGAACAACACCAGCAGTCAACACACGTTGGAAGACCAAGTCCTCTGTCCCATTTGCCTGGAGGTGTTCCGCAACCCAGTCACTACCGCCTGCGGCCATAACTTCTGCATGACTTGCATTCAGAGTTTCTGGGACCACCAGGCTGCCATTGGGGAGACTTACTATTGCCCCCAGTGCAGAGAGGCCTTTCCTAGCAGGCCCCGCCTCTGCAAGAATGTCATCCTCGGGGAGATGGTGGCTTGCTTCACCCAGGCCAAGAGCCAGACCTCAGGGAACTTGTGGGGCCTGGCTGGCCCCACAGATGTGCCCTGTGACTTTTGCTCTCCGCAGAAGCTGAGGGCAGCCAAGTCATGCTTGCATTGCGTGGCTTCCTTGTGTGAGAAACATCTGCGTAGCCACTTTGAGGACCAGCTGTTCCAAGACCACCAGCTGTTGGAGCCGGTGTGGGACCTCAAGAACCGCTTGTGCCGCAAGCACCGCAAGCTCCGGCAGCTGTACTGCCGCACGGAGGGCAGCTGCGTGTGCGGAGCCTGCCTATTGGAGGAACACAAGAACCACGATACCACCCCCCTGGAGGATGAACGGGCCCGCAAAGAGGTGAGGCGGGCTGAGGAAAGGGCCTGCTTCAGGCTCTGAGAATCTCTCACATTTCCGCGGAGGAAATTAACACAGCTGAAGCCAGGGGTTTTTTTGTTGTTGTTGATTTGTTTGTTTGTTTGGTTTTTGTTTTTCGAAAACACAGGCCTGGCTATCCTGGAACTCACTCTGTAGACCAGGCTGGCCTGGAACTCAGAAATCCGCCTGCCTCTGCCTCCCAAGTGCTGGGATTAAAGGCGTGCGCCACCACTGCCTGGTCTAAGGGAGACTTGTAAACAACCTTTCCTACCCAATAACCATGCTGCATCACTCACTTCAGATAGAGACTTCTGACAAGCAGTTCTGTAGCCTTCCTTATCAACTTACCGATGCCTTCCCAGGTCATAACATAACCCATCATGTTAGCAGCCGCCTAACATCAAAAATTATTATTGTAGGGGCATGTGTGGGTATCAAGGCTCACATATGGATGCCGATAGACAACTTTAAGGAGTTGGGTCTCTTCTTTTCTCTTCCTTTCTTTCTTTCTCTCTCTCTCTCTTTCTTTCTTTCTTTCTTTCTTTTTTTGTGACAGACTCACTTTGCAGCTCTGACTATCCTAAAACTCACTATATAGACGAGGCTGGCCTCAAACTCACAAAAAACATCTGCTTCTGCTTCCCACATGCTGGGATACAAGGTGCGTGCCACCACGCCCCACTCTCCTCCCACTTAAATGTAGGTTCTGAGGGTGGAACTTAGGGTAGCAAGCACCTTTACTCTCTAATCCATCTCACTGGCCCTGCCTAAGTATCTTTTCAGACATGTCCTTCTCTCAAACTCCTGCCTTCGTATCTCAAGTATTTGCTGCCACAAAATTTGGCTTCAGCCAGGCAGTGGTGGCGCATGCCTTTAATCCCAGCACTTGGGAGGCAGAGGCAGGTGGATTTCTGAGTTCGAGGCCAGCCTGGTCTACAGAGTGAGTTCCAGGTCAGCCAGGGCTACACAGGGAAACCCTGTCTCGAAAAAACAAAAACAAAAAACAAACAAACAAACAAACAACAACAACAAAAAAAACAAGTCTCCCTTAGAGATGCACCCAGGGAACTCCTGTGCAGGACACGCCTGCCCTTACTCCTCCCAAGAAGCCATAGCAGACAGTAGCTGGAGAGATGGCTCCTCATCTAGGAGCACGGGTGGCTGTTCTTCCAGAGGACCTGGGTTTGACTCCCACCACAGCTCACAACCGTAACTCCCTGGGGACATGCAAAATACCCATACACATAAAATAGACAATTTTTTTTGAAAAAAAAAAAGAAAAGAAAGAATTCAGACACATGATCGATTGCTTCCTAATCCCTTACACAGATTTCCTTGGTTTTGTTTAAAACAGTCTTCCCTCCCCTTCACCACAGGACAGAGGTCCCCGCAGCCACTCACTAAGCATCACTCCCAAGACCAGGACTGCTTGTGTGGCAGTCCTTAGAGGAAGGCAGTGGTAGGTGCTCTACAACAGGCATGGCTTCTCAGAAAGTAGCCCTAACGGGTTGTATAGGAACAGGTTATTATGAAAACCAAAAGAAGCATTAAAAAAAAAAAAAAAGTCCAGGCTATCAAGACTTGAAACATAATGTGCATGCCCCTGTAGTGAATCTGTTTCCAACATTTGGGAGGCTGAAGCAGGAAGATGGCTTTGGGTTCAAGGCTAGCCTGGTCTACATAGCTAGTTTCAAACCATAGGGCTACACAGCAAAATCTCATTTCCGAAACAGGACAGGGGTCTCTGGAGAATGGCTGGGTGGTTAAGAGACCTGAGTTCGATTCCCAACACGGTGGCTCACAACTCTAGCCCCAGGGGATCCAATATTCTTTTCTGGCCTCCACCAGCATGCACAGGGTACACAGACATTACAGCTAGGCAAAGACACCCACACATATAAGAAATAATAACGATACAATGAAACAAAACCAAAGCTGGGTATAGTGGCACGTGCCTGAAACATTAGCAGTAAGTGGCTTAGGCAAGAAGGCCCCAAGCAGAGGTCAGCCTCTGCTACATAAAATTAAGTCTGCCCCTCCTCCTACACAAAAGGAAGACAGATCGGTCGGAGAGATTCCTCAGTAAGTGAAGTGCTTGTTTTTATGACATGAGAACCTGAGTTCAACTCCCAAGTTTAAAAAAAAAAAAAAACAGCTAGGCATGGTGGTGGCATGGGGGAGGTAGAGGCAGAGGATCCCTGGGGCTCACAGCTGGCGAATCTAGCGGAAGCAGTGAGCTCTAGGCTCAGTGAGAGAGCCTGTCTCGGAAAATAAGGTAGAGGAGCTGGAGAGATGGCTCAGCAGTTAAGAGCACACTGTTCTTTACTGCTGAGCAGAGCAGAGGATCTGGATTCAGTTCCTAGCACTACAACCTCCATAACTCCAGTTCCAGGAGATCTGAACCAGGTGCACATGTGGTGGTGCACCTACATCTACATACATACAGGCAAAACACATATGTATATATATATATGCCTCAGCGTAGGCCCACTGAGACATCCCCTTCCCCCATACCTCACCACACACCCACAGAACATATTCTCTATATCGTTATCTTTTTATAAACACATCACAAGTGATTGAGAAAAAAACATCTACTCTCCTCTGGCTTCAACATATACATGCAGTCACATAGTCATGTACCCCTGCATACAGGTAGACACACACACAACATACATACAGACACATGTATGCACACAACACATACACACACACACACACACACACACACACACACACACATTGCAACTTAAGTTAGTTTCCTCTCCTCTTTGAGTCCTGCCCCCACCCCAGGTAGGGTCCCCAGTAGACCAGTCTAGCCTTGAACTCCCCATGAGATTAAGGATGACCTTGAGCTTCCGATCCTGCCTACACCTCCCCAGTACCTGGTTTTTCATTCTATTTTCACATATTAATATATTTGAATTGCTTTCAGAAGTGAGCTCCTCGCATAGATTGGTTTTGTTTTGGTTTTTGAGACAGAATTTTTCTGTGTAGCCCTGACTGTCCTGAAACTCACCTTGTAGACCAGGCTGGCCTAGAACTCATAGAGATCTACTTGCCTCTGCCTCCCGTGCGCTGGGATTAAAGGCGTTTGCCACTGCTGCCTGGCTGAGCTCATATTTCAGTTAGCCCATCAGAACATTAGATAACCTTGCTACCCTAACATACTATCATCAGTCTGGCAAGACAAAGAACTTAGAAAAAAGGCAACTATATCACTAAACTCATCACTAAACGCTTTGTTTAGTTCAGCTGACCTCTGCTTGTTTCAGTGAGACAGAGGAAGGGAACCCGGCCTGGATTTACAGGAGGACGAGCACTGTTTTCCATGTTAGAAACTTGCCAAAAAAAAAAGTCTTTTTCCTGAACTATGAGAATACAACTCCCCGTGGGCTTGTGTAGAGCTGGGCAGCGATACCGCGGTACCCAGGTACATGCTCTGCCCTGCGTGGCTTCAGTCTTCCCACCTAGCCATTGATCCCTTCCCAGAGCCTCCTCCCTGTATCCTGAAGCCCTGTGATCATCACTATCAGGAACAAAGAAACTGATTCCTAGGAAGGAGAGGCCAGAATCTCAGGCAGAGAAAGAACAAAAACCCAGCCAGCCACAGGACACACACCTTTAGTTCCAGCACTCGGGAGGCGGAAGCCGGCAGATCTCTGGTCTACATAGTCAGTTCTGGGCTAGCCAAGACTGTTCCACAGAGAAACATTGTCTCAAAAAAGAAGAAAAAAGAAAAGAGCTACACCTGCTCTTTTACCCTGGTCTTGGGTTCACTAAAGCCTGTGAATACATAGGGCACATCTCTTCAGGTATAGACAGTCGGGTCTCTCCAAGACCCACTCTATGAATCACGACGCTTACTCGCTTCTGCCCCGCCCTTTCCAGGTGGAAGTTCGGAAGATTCAGGCCAATGTGGAGAATCAGATGCTGATCATTGCCTCGGACAGCCAGAAACACCAGGGTCGAGTGAGTTTTCTCTCGGTAAGGCGAGCTACCACCGCCCCGACCCATGTTATCCCAGCGTCTTCCACGGGGCCCCTGGGACCTCCCAGAAGCTGCAGGGGATTATGGGGAGGGAGAACAGCGGACAGAGACAGGATGCTTGAGATACCTTTGGGCCAGTAGAGTGGGGTACAGGAGTGGGGTTCAGGGATGCCTCCCTACATATCTACTTCAGAAATTGATTCAGACTATGCGAGACGAGGTGAACACCTGCTTCTCAGAAATCCTCCATGAGATCAAACAGCTGCAGATGAAGGTCTTGGATTTTGTGGAGAAAGAGGAGGCAACTGCCCTGGGAAAGCTGGGCAACTCTATCCAGCAAAGCCACAACCGGCTCCTGAAGTTGGAGGGGGACAGCATCTGGCTGCACAGTCTGCTCAACAACAGGAGTGATGAGCAGTTCCTACAGGCAAGACCCCCCTCTAGACCAAGCCCTGTTTCTCTACGAGGGGGAGGGGTACCAGACCTGAGACAAAGAAATCAGGATGTGGGCCTGCATCACCTTGTCCACTCTGACTGAGAGCCCCAGATCAGCATCCTAAACTCTCATCAGCACCCGCTGCTTTTATCCTTCTGCCTACAGAGATGAGCTACTCCTTCTTTTTCCTCAGGAAAGGATGGGGCAGTGCCCTGGGATTCTGAGTGTGTAATTCAGTCTACCACAAACAAGAGTGAGGCAAAGTCTACGTATTGAAATCAATATTCCTCTTCAGCCATGTTCCTGTGTGACTGAACGGTGGGGGTGGGAAGCCAGCGTAGGGACGGGGAAGCGACCCTCCTACCCCTGGACAAACTTCAAAGATCGTTGCTTACCTCGTCCCTCTCGTCCCTCTCTGGACAACAGGATGAACTTATCAATGACCTTTTTGAGCGATTAAAGGCTTGACTCAAATCCTCCTGTCATTTTCTACAGCAGCCAGACTACCATTGAAACCCTAACCTAAGCTATCCAAACAACTAGGAGAGAGACGCTCACATTTGAAAATGGGACTTTTCCTTCCCCTTGCCCATGGAGGTGGACGCCCCTGGCAGGTGCCTGAGCCCTGGCTAATGATGTACTAGCTGCCCGTCTCTGCATACCAGGAGTTCCCCAGACTGAAGCACTTCCCTGCCTGCGTGGAACCCTTGCTAGGCACCAACTGTGAGGAGACACAGAGCTTCCTTCAGCTGCCAGAGACCCTGGCCCAGCTCCGAATCAGGCTGATGGACATCGGTCTCAGCTTCATCAACCAGCTGCTCTTGAAGGGTCAGTCTCTCAGAGGTCTGGAGTCTTGTCACTTGGGAGTGGCACCTCCTCCACTCCAGTGTTGGTGGTGCCCTGCCTGTCTGTGTTGTGCCCTTCCCAGGTCTCATGGGCTCTGGGATGGGTCATGCCTCTGTCTGGAAGAAGGCTGGGCTGGAAGAGGGTCCCCAACATAGCTTGTCCTTCTCCCCCAGGCATCAGGATGAGCGCCTATGAAGTGCTGCCCTCAACTGTGGACAGAAAGACACTACTCCAGAGTGAGTTCTCAAACCAGAGGCCAACCTGGGGGAGGAGAGGAGGGAGGACTCCTATGTGTCTGGACTTCCGGCTTCACCTGCATTCTGGCCTCCAGAACACTTCCTGTTCACTTTCCTGGTCTCTCACTGCAGACTGGGGACCTCAGGGAGACTTAGCCTGGGTTCCAGGCCCTGTTAGGAAGAAGGGGAGCCCCTGTCCCTTCCTATTTCAGAGGCGGCTCTTCCATGGCTCTCTGGACCTCGGCTTCTGTCCTTATCTGGATGGCTGCCAACTTCCTGAGGATTAGCCAAGTCAACCAGAGTAGGCAAGCATCCATTGATGTCCCTAAAAGCCCTCTCCCTGGCCTTGGCTCTAGGACCAAATCCCAAAGCTTCTGAGATATCAAGGGTTATATATCGAACACCTTTGACCTCTGGGTCACCCTAGCCAGGAACCCTTCACTCTCTCCAAGTCTCATTCAAACTTGTCCTGAACAAATAAGAAAGGTGATTTTGTTAGGATCTGGTGGGAAGGAGGAGAGGGACCCCTGTTCCCCAGCCCTTCTAGAAGAGTCTAACATCGTACAGGGATTTACTTCCTCTAAGCTGTCTGGTGAAGCCCTACCAGGGCTGGACTGTTTTAAGAAGTAGATAAAGCCTGGTGTGGAAATCTAGCATTTGGGAGGCTGAGACAGGACAGATGTCACAAGTTCAAGATCAGCCTGGGCTAACCTGGGTTCAAAAAAAAGATAGTCAATGAAAATAGACCAAGAGATAGAGAGGGCACTGCTTCTAAGAACCTGGGGTAGAAGCATCCAATGAAATCTTTGCAAACGTCTTTGCAAACATCTGCTCTTAGCCAGTGCCCTGCTCTGGGAACAATGACCCTGGCTCCCTTGTGCCTCCATCCCTAACCCCAGATTACTGCAACCTGAACTTTGACCCCTCCACGGCCAGCGAAGAGCTATTCTTGTTCAAAGAAACGCACTCGGTGTTGAACTTGGGCATCCTTCTGGAGCCCTCGACCACCCCTTTACCGGGCTTCAAGCAGTGGCCCCAGGTTCTGTGCTGCCCAGGTCTGTCTAAAGGCTGTCACTACTGGGAGGCCGAGGTGTCCAACTCGTGGATGTGCCTAGGGGTCACCTACCGTCGTAGCCCTTCGATGAGCGGTCGCCCCCGTCGCAACATCGTCTACCTACTGGGCCGCAACCCCTACTCGTGGTGTCTGGAGTGGGACTCGCTCAAGTTCTCCGTGTGGCATAACAACACACAGACGGTGCTGCACGGCTCTTACCACCACACGCTCGGCGTGGCGCTGGACTTTGGGGCCGGCTCCCTGTCCTTCTATGGCGTGGCGGGCGATGTGAGCCTCCTCTACCGCTTCCTCACCTCCTTTCTCGAACCTCTGTACCCCGCGGTCATGGTCAGCAGCGGAGCATCGCTTACACTCAGGCAGTACCCTGAGGCATAGGCAGCGCCCGCCGGCCCAGGCTGGCTGCCAATAAAGTTAGACTCTACGTACTGGCTGGGCAGGAGTGCAGAGTGGGTGGCTCGCGGTGTGGTCCCCCTGCACCAAGGATGAAAGTGGGTGGCCCCCCTGCTTCCCAGCTCTATGTCTGAATCCATCTGCGCCACTTGTCTAGAAATTCTGGATAGTGACCTTCCCCATAACACTGGAAGGGCTCTGAACCAGACTGGAGGTCTCCTGGGGATGGGGATAGCCCATGCCTTTCAGAGGCCAAATCCTGCTCTCAATACTCACCACCCTTTCCCCCAACCCAATCGGCAACCCTTGCTCTCAGGCCCATCCCTGTTGCTTCCCACTCTTGGGAGGCTGTGAAGCCTCAGACCAGACAAGGCTTGAGTCAAGCCGACTTCTCCTTCCAGGTGGCCATGCTGTGAAGTAGCACTGGACAGAGACAGGAGGGTTAGCAGAGTTCTTCTCTCTTACTCGAGGACTGGAAAGTTGGAGCCAAGGAACCCAGCCCTGCCTTAGAGCCAAGACTGGTTGGTGGGCTGAGGACTGAGGTCCAGGTTAGAGTTGGTGAGCAGAACAGCTAACCTCAGTAAAGTGTCTAACTCAGTGTTTTGCAGCGTGGAAGGCTATGGATAATGAGTGGGTAATCTTTTTTGGTTTTTCGAGACAGGGTTTCTCTGTGTAGTCCTGGCTGCCCTGGAACTCACTCTGTAGACCAGGCTGGCCTCGAACTCAGAAATCCGCCTGCCTCTGCCTCCCAAGTGCTGGGATTAAAGGCGTGCGCCACCACTGCCTGGCTATGGTTGGGTAATCTACACCTCCCATTCTCACCTTTATGGTTTGTATGAGTGATTCCCTGCCTTCAGTGATGAACCTACTCCACTCATGGGAGGGGGTGTGGAGGAAGTAGAGGATGCTGGGACACCCAGGCGTTTATAATCTAATTTGTTCAGTGTGGGTCCTGGAAGTCTGTATTTCAGCTTCGTCCAGGGCCAGGCCGGGCTCCTGCTAGAGACCCTGACTGTTGGATTGAAGCCCTGCCCAACCCCAAGCCAGGGGTTCCTGTCCAATGGGAAAGTATTCTGAATTTCCAGACTCAGCCGGCCACGGTTCTGTGGGTTTAAAGCAGGGCCCCAGCCAAGTTAATAATCCACAAACTGATAAAAGTCACATGAGAGAAAGCCCCTAGGGCAAGGCAACTGGCAGCCAGACGAGGAGGTCTCCCACCACGAGGGCACTTGGGAATTCCAGCCCTGCCCTGCAAGTTCCTGGAGAAATTAGTAACCCTGTTTGCTCCTCAAGGCGCTCCTTTTGGGGTGGGGAAAGCAATGATGTCCTTTGCAGATCTCCTGAGGTGCCCTCTGAGGGAACCCTGGCTGTGACCAAATGGTGACCTCTTTCCCTAGGGTCTTCTGATAGCTCTCACTTACTTCCCACAGGCTGCTGTTCCTGTAGGAGACAAGGCTATGAAGCTCTTTCCCCACACTGAGGAGGGAGCCTTTTCTTATTCCTAATGACTAGATCATACCTCATACCTGACTCTTCATTCTTCTGGGTCAGGAAGAGAGCTAGCTGGGGATGGGGGATCATCCCTGTAATTCTGTCATTCAGGAGGCTGAGGCAGGAGAATGGCTGCGAGTTCTAGAGGCAAGTTTGGGCTACATAACGAGACCCTTCCCCCACCCCTCCAAAGGGGTAGGAAGGGAGCTAGGCCTTGGTATCACATGCTGTAATCCCAGGGCTCTAGATGGTGGAAAAGTCATCCTCCATGACACAGCAAGTTCAAGGAACAAATGGAAATGAGGACACAAATGGATGAAGACTAGGTGTCCTTCACAGCTATGCTGAGGGCAGGGACAGCAAAGGCGGTATCTCAGCAACCTCCCCAGACAGTGCGGTAACAAAGTCTTCCCCTCTAGGGGGCTGACCAACTGAATTGCCAACCCTGCTGGCTCCCCAGGACATGTAGCTACGGGATGGTGTGGGACAAGCCATGGTGTCCTGAGACAGACATCCAAAGAGACAAGGTTGTTACCTTCTTAAACAGTTGCTCTTTCTGTGGGGGCTCCTCATTCGGGGACTCCTTAGGAGTATAAACAAAATGTTGAGGTCCCTTTGGCCACGGCTCAGCACCTGCTTCACAGGAGAAAGGGTCATAGGAGTTAGGGATAATATTGGAGAAATTATTGGGCCTTGTAATCCTTCCCATTTGATCAGTGCACGTCATCTGGGTGCCAGGCTCGGGGTGTGACAAGCACCTCGAGGTCCTAAGTTCAATCTCCAGCACAGGAAAAAGAAATCACTGAGCGTGAATTACCACACTATATCCAGTAGGTAAGTACAAGCGCACAAGTCAGTTTAACTGTGTGTTACAGAAGAGGACTTGCAAATGCTCTAGGATAACCATGCCCCCTCCAACCCCATCCCCACTCATGGTGAAGGAGCCAGGGTAGGTACTCTCTGGAACGCTCTCCCCCAGATTTCCCACCAGGAAAGATTTGACGGCGACTTTGTACTTAGCATGCTAGGAAAGACCTCTACCAGGGTATCCCGAATAGCCAGCCCCGTCCTTTGGTGGAGGGAGGGGTGGAAGGCTCTATTCCAGACACTGATCTTTCTTTTTTTTTTTTTTCTTTTTTTTGGGGGGGGGTTTCGAGACAGGGTTTCTCTGTGTAGCTCTGGCTGACCTGGAACTCACTCTGTAGACCAGGCTGGCCTGGAACTCAGAAATCCGCCTGCCTCTGCCTCCCAAGTGCTGGGATTAAAGGTGTGTGCCACCACTGCCCGGCAGTCATATTCTCTAAAGATATTTCATTAAAGTTTTACCCAAATGGTTGAGCTTTCTGCCTTTTCTTAAGGTTTTTCGTTTGTCTTTGTTTTGAGACAGAGTCTCACTGTGTTGCCCTGGCTAACCTGATGCTGGCTATGAAGACCAGGCTGGACTTGAACTCACAGAGATCTTCCAATTTCTGCCTTTCCAGTACATGGGTTAAAGGTGCGTGCCACGCCACTCAGGTGACTACTCCCAGCCCCTCACTGAGGGATTCTAGGCAGGGGCTCTTACCAATGAGCCACGCCCCCAGCTCCTCATTGGAGGATTCTAGGCAGGGGGGGTCTACCATTGAGCCATGCCCCCAGCTCCTCATTGGAGGATTCTAGGCAGGGGCTCTTACCATTGAGCCATGCCCCCAGTTCCTCATTGAAGGATTCTAGGGGGGAGGGGTCTACCACTGAGCCACGCCCCCAATTCCTCATTGGAGGATTCTAGGCGGGGGGGGGGTCCTACCACTGAGCCACGCCCCCAGTTCCTCATTGGAGGATTCTAGGCAGGGAGTCTACCATTGAACCATGCCCCCAGCTCCTCCCCAAGCAGGTCTAGTCACCTCACCCCATTCAGAGTTGTCCGTAGGTCTGGAGGCTGCAAAGGGAATGTCTTCAGTTCTTAGAAGCCAGGCTGAGACCCTGACAGCACGCCTGCTGTGTGGGTAACCAGCACTCCGAAGTGTTACAGGACACCTGTTTAGTGACTCAGCCTTGCCAAATAAGTCGTAAACTGCCAGTTAAATGGCTTCAGGCTTCCTGCCAGGTGTTTCTAGAAGCCACATCTTCACATCTTGTCTGTGGCTACGGGACTCTTCCTGCTTGGAAGATGAGGCCCATGGTGCTTTTGCCTCCATAGCAAGCCACACAGCTGGAGGTGTCACAGATGTTAGATTACTGCTCAGTTTGTTCCAGAGATTCACAGATACACCCTAGGTGGCTTCTGGACCCATGTCCCTTAGTTGGCCCAAGGGTCAGCATAAGAGGGTCATTTCCTGCCCTGGTACAAATCGACTGGGTGAGGCGCTGATACAACTTGCATGCGGGTGGCTGGGGGTCAGGGGCTTCTACTTCTAATTAGTTTAGTTGCACCACGACTTCTTGATGCCCTGAATCAAAACCATGTGGTATCTTCAGCAATGGGATTGTAACGTCTGGTTCTGGTGTGCAGCCAACAGCTTTGGTCGTAGTGTGGACTGTGGGCCTCAAGCACTTTCCTGACCGACAACTGTGATGATGTAACTCGGGTTTGGTTTATAAAAATGTATAGAAGCATGCGACATTTTTTGAAAGTAACACTTGCTGGCCGATGGTGGTGTCTGCCTTTAATCCCAACACTCCAGAAGCAGAGGCAGGCAGATCTCTGAGTTCCAGGACAGCCTGGTCTACAGAATGAGTTCCAGGACAGCTACCCAGAGAAACGCTGTCTCAAAAATTTAAAAAAAAAAAAAAAAAAAAAAAAACCGGAGGGAACATTTATCTGGGTGTGGAGGCACACACTCTTAATGCCAACATTTGAGAGAAAGAGGCAGGTGGATTTCTGAGTTTGAGGTTAGCCCAGTCTACAGAGTGAGTTCCAGGCTACCCAGACCTACAGAATTAGACCTCGTTTTTTTAAAAAGGGGGGAGGAGGAGGAAGAGGAAGAGGAAGAGAGAGAGAGAGAGAGAGAGAGAGAGAGAGAGAGAGAGAGGAAAGGAGGAAATATTAGCAACAATATAGCACAAAAAGATTCCACCATTCATCTCAATTATTCCATCAAAACAGCAACATTGAATATAGATGAGTGGGCAGGAGGGTAGCCCGTCTGGTCCTTCACAAGCCACCTAGCCATCCCCAGCCACCACCTGTGGACACTCTGGAGCTCCCATGGTGCAGCGGTGTACCTCCTGACCCCAGTAGGCTAGGCAGGGCAGGCTTGTCCTTTCCTGAGTGGCAGGAATGGAAAATATTTGTGTGCCCTTGCTCGCTGCACCTGCTGCTCCAGCTGGCTCGGCACTAGGACTGTAACCCTTGCCTCTGCATTGGCTACACCCGATTGTTAACGGGAGCCCTGGGCTGGAGAACCGCTCTCCGGCACCTAGGATTTTTCTCTCTGGAAGAAGTGTACATAGCATCCTCTAAACTGTACACAGTGATTGCTTACTCTGAGGACACGCTTGGTCCCTTTCACCTGTACCATGGTGTCATGCATTCCTTCATTCACATCGGTGGCGTTCAGT